AGTTATCCAGTTCCGAGACAATTGTTCTCTGTCGCATGTGGCTTGGGGTGTCTCTTACGATCGCCTTTGCTTGCTGCCTCGGATGGGCAGACAGTGCTGCGTGTGATCATTGCGGCGCCTGACGAAACAATCGAACATATTTTGTGTCAGTGCCCTCAGTACAACTGTCAGAGACAGCCCCTGTCACCAGTGTGTGCACACCTCGACGACCCTGCAGTCGCTTTCGGAAAAATAATTTTGGAATACCGCAAAGATCAACCTTAACGCCAAAAAGCGACGAAGTCCCCGCTGAAGTTTCTGCGATCGACCCGCCTCGTCGAACGTTTGTGACGTTTTAATGTGTTTGTGTTTTCGTTTCCGTCCCGCTTTTTTTCTCGCATTCCCCTTTTCCTTACTTTTATGTCTCCCATTTTCCCCTTCCCTAGTGCAGGGTAGCAAACCAAACACTTGCTTTCTGGTTAACCTCCCTGCCTTTCTTCATACTATATCTCTCTCTTTCTTGAAATATTACATATTGTGGCGAGGCACTCTTTTTCAGTGGCCGAATAGTTCTTGTTTTGACAAGCCGCGGCTGGTGCAAGCGATAACTTTTTCACAGACATGCTTCTTTTGTACTAGGACGCCATCGAAGCCTACGTCGCTTGCCTCTGTGTGCATTTCTACGTTTCGGCATGCTCGTCGAAATGCGCTAGCACAGGCTAGTGCTTCAGGTGATTTGGAAGTTCACAAAACGCGTTTTGCTGCGTTTTCCTCACAGGTGAACTGAACGCTGTCGTTCGTCAAGCACGTGAGTGGTTCGGTGATCTTTGCCAAGTGGATTGATTTATATGGGGAGTTTAACGTCCCAAAACCACCATATCATTATGATAGACACGGTAGTGGATGGCTTCGGAAATTTAGACCACCTGGGGTCCCTAACGTGCGCCCAAATCTGAGCACACGGACCGACGAGATTTGCGCCTCCATCAAAAATGCAGCTGCCGCCGCCGGGATTCGATCCCGTGACCTGCGAGTCAGCAGCCGAGTATCTTAGCCACTAGACCACCGAGGCAGGTCATCTTTTCCAAGTTTTTGACAAAGCGCCGGTTGTGCGCGCACAGTCCGTGGAATTTTCTCACCCCCTTCTTGCACTTTGGCATCCGAATGTTGGCAATCGATGTAGTTTCAGTGGGGCCAGGCAGGACTCACTCGACGGAATTTACTTGCTCATAAGCTAAGTGGCGCCCACTTTACTGGTTTCAGCGTTAACCCTGATATACGGACTGCTGCGAGCACCGACTCTAACTCTCGAGGTGTTCGTCAAATTTTCGGGAAAATACGATGACATGGTAAAGGTAAACGAAGCAGGTGTGTCATTTTAGGCCAGTCAGTGTGTACGGTATCCCTGACTCTGAAACACTGCTTTGATTGATTTGTGAGGTTTAACGTCCCAAAACCACCATATGATTATGAGAGACGCCGTAGTAGAGGACTCCGGAAATTTTGACCACCTGGGGTTCTTTAACGTGCACCCAATCTGAGCACACGGGCCTACGACATTTCCACCTTCTGAAACACTGCTGGCACTGTGTACATTCCAAACGACATTACTTCGGACTCTTGAAATCCGTCCTGCGTCATAAACATAGTCTTCTCATAGTCCCTTTCGTCTACTTCAATTCGCCAGGTTGTCAGGTCCGTCGAAGAGAAGTACTTGGCATTGCGAATGTAGTCGGGGGCGTCGTCGATATGTAAGAGTGTGTATACGTCTTTTATTGTGATTCTGTTCGGTCATCGATACATTTTGTAGAAAAAACGTGTCTCGGCATCTCCTCATAGTACTAGTGGTTAAAGAGCCTGTCACCTAACCCGATCGACTCGTTCTAGCCAGTCCTAAGAAGCCTCAGAGGGGGACCCATTTTATGGTGGTGGCTCTTTTAGTTGCAGCTGAAATACAGGAAGATTGGCGGAGTTGGTCACTGTAGCAACGTTGTTTATGGGAATGACTGTGTCTTCTTTCTTCAGCATCTCTAGAAGCAGCCCTAAACTCTGCAAGAAGCTTTCGCTGTCGGCGACTGACACGAGCTGGACTTGCCTGACGAGTTTCAGCAGGTTTAGGGTTCTAAGCCCTGCACCTCCACCAGATGTCAAGCAACCAAGAACGACGCGAGCTCCTTTTTTTCGAATTAGTGATCTCCGAAAGACTGAAAATGGCCAAGAACTAAGCGGCATTCGACTGAGCGGCATGTGCGTGTAAGCGTCGACGGGGACAAGGCGATTGCTCCGGTTTTCCGGCGTGCTTTTAGACCGATAACACAGCTCGAGAGGGTAAATGACGAAGTTTTCACTCTATAAAATTAGATATCTTGCGCGGCTACAAAAATACGCATGAGGACAAGCTCTTCACTTTCAACATTGTTACAGACAGGCGCTGTCAGACGCCGGAAAGTCAACACATGAAAGCACAAAGCAAGAAGCATTGGTCGTGGCAATATTTCTCTTTTGAAAGGGCTTACTTCAGGCAGTGCCTCTTCTATTTTATCAATTCGAGTCAAATGCGCCTGATCTAGCCGTTCACCACCTTCTCCTCTAGCCCTTCCCTGCCCTCGCCCATCGCCTAGGCCTTCATGAGTGCTTTGTGGTCATAGGGGAGAGAGCTCATTATGTAGGGCCTCTCGACGGAAATCATATGGATATGAGACAATTATTTGTTTAATTGCGTATAGATCAGCGGGGTGGCGTCTTGAAGTTCCTGTGTTCAGAATGTTGGCTGCTACGCTGGCTCTGTAATAGATACGGTGTTTTGAGATCACGTGTCGCCGTTCGCGGCGCTATGCGGGCAACCAATCGGGAACCGTCACTGCAACGCAAATGCGTGCTCCAACTTAGAGGGCGCTTGCGAGGCAGTGGCGACTAGAGTTACTTTATACGCTACCTTTAGGTAGCTACTTAAAGGTAGCATATACAGTAACTCTAGCGGTGACATAACTTCCAGCCACAAAGAAGGAGCCCGAAGGAACACATCTGACAGACGTATGACATAGGAGTGGGAAGTCGCATCTCCGGGAGAAAGTGCTCGAAAGCACGTGTGACGCGAGCAGTGAGACCTAAGGTTCCTTGATGCGCGCGTTCCCTCCGTAGCAAGGGGGCGCCACCTCTGCTAAGGTTCCGAAAGGTTCCTTGATGCACGCGCCCCCTCTGCTAGGAACATTAGCGTGACCCTTCATATAGCGCCGCATCACGACCACTTCTTCACTGAAAGCGGAGTGACGTCTCCCCTTGAGAAGCACGCGTTTGCACTGGCATTGAAAAAAATAAAGGAGGCGTTGCTTCAGGCAATCTTGCTTACATTTGGTAATGCATACAATGACCGAATTATTACAACCCCTTTGCAATGTTTGCTCAGCAGACTGAAAGAAAACTAGAAACGTCAACGAGATACGACTCATAACTTCAAACCCCACAAAAAAAAAGAAATCTGAGAAGCGTGTGCTGGGTAAATCATGTGCAGTGTGACTTAGACGAGTGTAGAGCCCAGATAGCCAATAAAGCACCGCTTTTAAACAATAGCATTCACAATCCATCACTTATTTGAGTTTCTCCTTTCCTGTAATCAAATGATAAACCGATGCGAATTGGAGGATTCTAGGTCTGAAGCAGTCCTTGACGTGGCGTCACCTTCATTCAATGTAGCTGATACTACAGTTTATGTATCAATGATATCTTAATTGATGAGCCAAGGCCCCCAATGCAAGTTTATGTATAGCACAGCGTGCCTCGCCTCGCAAAATGGCACAAAAATATCGCAGGCACTTTTCTAGCGCGAGAGTGCAAGATAATAATAGACTAAGCTTAATCGACAATTATCTACTCTGAGTTAGCCATGAAAAAAAAAACGGAGACGTTAGTTCGAGAGAGCGGGTGAAAAAATCCTAAATAGCTTTTTGCTCATGTTAAGCATGTGCTTCTTAGTCAAAGCTGTGCCAACGCATTGAACCGAAGAGGCCAAATATCATGTGGTCTTTCTCCCAGCTTATTCTAGCGCGCTTTGAATAAAATTAGGCCTTAGTTTATCATGTCTCATAATGTATGACAGTGTGTGAACAATAGAGCTTCATAACTACTAGTACGTGTAAATAAGCAACATGTTAGTGGCAATCGTTCTGGTTTGATGTCAAAAAAAACACCGCATGATTATGAAAGACGCCGTAATGGACGGCCAGGAAATTTCGGCACCTTGGTGTTCCTTAGCGTGTACCCTAATTTAAACACAAGGACCTCAAGCCTTTTCACCCTCAGGAGAAATGCGGCCGCAGCGAAATAATTTGATACCGCGACCTTCTGTTCAGCGAGCTTTAGACCCTAGGCCGAAATGGCGGGCAAATAGCAACATGTTAAGTTTTCAAGGTATAATATAAGTAAGCCAAAGAGAAGCATTATAAACATCTCAAGGGAGGTGATGTCAAATGGGACCTTTTGCTTCACGCGCTTCCAAGGTAAGGTATTGATGGGTAATTGGAGAATGGGAGGGTGGTCTCCCCGCTCGCGGAACACAAAGGAAGCCCAGCACGGCAGCGAAATTCCGCCGCCTACGCCTCTGTTATCAGCAGTACGGCTCGCAAGGCCCATAGACACGCACAGACAGACACGCCGGGGTCCTATTCTCTGTCATTTGCTGCTCTTGGCCCCGCAAACTGGATCGCAAGCAGCTCGTGCAAGCTCGTAACAGCGCGTCGGAATCACTCCTTTTCTCCGCAACGCCTGAGACTGGACGCGCTTACAAAGAAAGTGAACCGGTGTGTCAGCGTTGCGTTCAGAGACTGGCTTGCTTAGAGCTTGGGGGGAGGGGTGGGGAGGTCGCAGAAGTGTTGTTGTAGTTATTGCATGGAAGCCGCTCGCACTGCAGATCGTGTCACGTGGTACGGTCCGGCTCCCATCGTAGCCCTTGACAGCTCGCCCGGATCTCTGCTTGTGAGGCATTGCGCGTTCACCACCCGGGACCACCAGTATATAAGAGTGGCCGCTGGCCGGACAGAGACATCAGAACTCGCTCAGCCATCTCAGGAGTTGAGTCGAAGAGATCCTGTGGAGTACGGGAACACACGCCACCGACCCACCAGCTATGAAGGTGAGAATATCGTGCAGGGGCGGGCTGCCGGGTACACCTGCGGCTTCTGAAATGGCTCACTGGTCAAGTCAGACTTAAGCTCAGTCCTTGGATATTGTGACCTCTGGCCCGAAAAGAGCCACTGCTGAACGATAATAGTGTTATCTGCAAGCATGTTGCGCATTGAATGTTCATCTGTGTAATAGGCTCTTAGCCTAGAGTTAGTATCTAGCCGCCTTAATTGTTTGTGAAAGTAGAATCATAATGATGGCGTTAACCTCATGAGGAAATCATGGATGCTCAGTGGTATTCGAATCCCAGGAGGACCAATACAGCTCAATTCAGAAATATTTCTGAAAAATTATGGGCGCCTATTGCTTTTCGATGTCGGCAGTTGAATGCTACGTTATACTTAAAAAGTTTAACGAATATTTGATAACTCCATGCATCGCTAAGTCCCGGTAGGCGTATACTAGCCGCTACACCATGTCTGTCCTTCACCAGAGGTAATTCAACTTCCCGGAGGTGTAAAAATCTAGGTTCTATGTAGCTCATGAAGGTTGCTGGAGATTTGTCAATTCAAATTATAGACTATAAGAAAAGCCTAATTAAGAAAGTAGTAAAAAATCCTTTTTAAGCAGTATCTCACGTAACAGTTCGTAAGAAACGCTTCGCCTAATGTCAGAATCTATCACTATACCACAGTGCAACATACCTAACCATCTTAACGTTTCCTTCAGGTCCTCGTTGTTCTCGCCGTTGCCTGCGCTGCGGCTCACGCCGGTTTCATCGGTGGTGGCCATGGAGGAACTTCTACCCAGCACCGTTCTCAAGATGTGAGCATCATTCCGCAATTACGCGCCGTTCACGCTTCACGATATTTCAACTTGAATATCGACAAACAGACCTTCGCGCTGGGCCGAAACAACTTGAAGTTTCGTATTGCAGCTCCAAATCCTGACATTATGAACGTCTTTAAAACAGATCAATGGGAAAGTATGTACACCTGAGGAATCCAATATCTGAGCTTCTAGTCCTGTTTATTTTAGTATGTGTGAATGTACTTATACCATTACCAGTTTGTCTAATAATACAGTTAAGGGGTTAGAAAAGAACACAAATAAGGTCAGCAGGACTACACAACGGGAGAACATACCAGAGAGACAGTTGAGAATTTCTCATGGCTCCTAACAGACCCCCTTTTTTTGCTTTCTATTCACCCACCCTCGGAACAGATCTCTGGCGCCTACAGCTTCGGCTACAACGAGAACCACGCCACTGGTGGCACTTCTCGCTGGGAGTCCGGTGACGGCGTAGGCAACAAGAAGGGCTCGTACAGCCTGCGTGGCGCCGATGGCCGCTGGCGTACCGTCAAGTACGTCGCTGATGGCGCTGGATTCCGCGCAGCCGTGTCCACCAACGAGCCAGGCACCGCTCCATCCTCCCCCGCCTCTGCTGGCATCAATGCGCCCATTCTTCACGTTCCTGCCGGACACCACGATGGTGCCTACGGAGGCTACGCTGGTGCCTATGGAGCTGGAGCGTACGGAGGTGGAGCGTATCTTGGAGGCGCTGGTTATGGAGCTGGAGGTTACTACGGAGCCGGAGCCGGAATCGGAGCCGGAGCGACTAAGGCGGCCCACGTCTTCGGTGCTGCTATTCCCGGAACTGGCTTCGGCGGCTTCGGAAGCTACGGCGGCTACGGGGGCTACGGCGGCTACGGAGGTGGCTATGGAGGCTACGGGCACCATGGTTATGGGGGTCATGGCATCATTAAGCATTATTAGGTTATGTAACAAAGACTAATGATTGTTGCTTGTGGCTTCAACTCTCATTTAGTGTTCATAGTTTTTCCTATTGTTGGTACCGGTGCTTTGTCGCCATTGTTGCTCACTTCTCAATGGTCTCCCTTATATGGCCCCCTTTTGTGCAAAGACTCAAGTTCCTAAGTGCATTGCTTTGTTGCTTCAGTGCTGCTCACCTTCGCTAGTTGTTTGCCTTTATGTGTTGACCAAATAGTGTGTGTCGTGCTTGTTTTCAATAAAAAAATGTCTTATTCATGTCGAACCTAAAGCGTTGGACTATTTGTTTTTAACTCTAGCTCGCAATCCACTAAGCCTGGGCGCTTTGCTTGTTATGATTACGAAAATAGCAAGGCCTCCTCGCACGTAGGGAAGGCTACAAGAGGCAGATATCCACTTTTAAAGCAATGCAAAAAAGCTAGGTTAATACAGAATGCTTTTAACAAAACACATCATAGTGTTATTAGAATATCAATACTACCGAAGTACTAATTGTAATCTCAACATACAACAGCACCACGCAATGCTTACTTCTGAAAGATTTTTTCGACGCACAGAATCTTGAACCAAGAAAAATCCGAATAGTATTTGGTGTTAGTATACCAGCTTAATATAGCGAAGTTAGAATAAAATTTGATAAAGGGAAAAATGATGTAGGCCCGTGTGCTCATATTTGGGTGCACGTTAGTGAACCACAGGTGGTCGAAATTTCCGGAGTCCAAAATTTCCGAAATTTTAGTTACGTGACAAGAACTATCACGTAATAATTTGCCGACACAAGCAGCGAAGCACAAGACTGTTCTTATTGTGAGTCCAAACGTAATATTTGTAACTACTGTTATTAATGGTTCCAACGTATAAGTGCTGATAGACACAGATGCTTCAGTGAGCCTGATTAACGTGAAGATGGTAGCCTGCCAGGGAAACCAACCAGGAAGACGATCTGGCCAAGGGAAACCAATCAGGGTTTGCCGCCATGATAAAACTTGTAGAAAGTTAAGAAATGGACAGAAGTAGTGTTCTTCAGAGATCAGAAAATAGAGAGTGAAACGCCTTGTAATGTCTTGTGTTGATTCTCATTTCTTTCTCTCTCTCTCCCAACCGAATATGACGCTTCTAAAAATCAACATACTGTGGAACGACGTAATAACAACTGACAACGTCGAAACTTGCTCCAGTTTTGCAGAAAAGTAGCCCAAGATTGTGAAGTGCATCGACGAATGGACGTCAAAGTACGCAGGGCTTGTGTCTGTGGGCACCTTAACCATAGCTACCACAGCAATTAAGGTCCTCTTCGAACTGCGTGAGAAAAACGTAGTAAGAAAGTAACCATATGCCTTGAGCCACGAAAAGAAAACTTGCCTAAGGAAGGAACTTCGAGGTTTGCTGGAAGCTAGCATCATCAGACTATCCACGTCATCGTTTACTTCACCAATTGCGATCGTGCCTAAGGAAGGTGAATCGTTTCGCTTATAACAGGTTGCAGACTCATCAAATGACTGACGTACCTGTTCCCCTTTTCAATGCCGAGAATGGACGCAAGAATCAATGAAACAGGGGGGTGCGAATGGTTTTATTAAATTTATTTGTGTAACTGATACTGGAGGGTACCACACGAAGAAGGTCTCGGTGTCCATTACACCGTTTGATGTGTACAGATACAACTGACTCATTTAGTTGGAAGAACTCCGGCGCATGTTTTCAGATATTGATGAACAGCGTACTAACAAATTTTAGTGGAAAGTTCTACAATGTCCGTGTGGGAGGCATTCTTGTAATAAATGACAAGAGATGAGCATATACTTCACCTTTCAATGGCGTTGCAAGCCTTCAGTAACGCAACCCTCAATACCAATGCTAAGAAAAGCGAGTTCTTTTGTCAGATCTTCATAGTTCTGGCAGACGCTTCGACGGCAAGACAATGAATACCAAGGAAGAAAGCGTACAGCGAATCAGGTGATTTCCGAAACCTCATGACGTTCATTCACTTCCTGGTTTTTTTTTAGGACTAATGACACTTACGAACATTTGTAAAAGACTACGCCAAGAAGACTAAAGGTAGTCAATTCCTGTGGACGAACGAATGCGAACGTGCTTATTTAGCTTGTTAGCATCATTTTGTCTGATCCTGTATGGACGCTTTCGAATTTTACCTTAGTCTTTGAACTGTACACCGATGCTTCACACTCTAGAACGGAGGCTGTTCTTTACCAAAAGACGACAAGGAGCCTATGACCAGACAAGTACAAGTTATTGCATATTTTTCGTACATGTTTACTAAAGCGGAAGTTAATGAATGCAACACCGAAATGAAGCATTGGCAGCGGCTATGGCCTGGAGATATTTCAGGACATATTTGGAAGGCCGATGTTTTAAACTGTTCACATACAACCAGGCCTCCACTTATCTGGTTCATCTCGCACAGTCAAAGGGGTGAAATACACGAGTGGCCCAGCAAGATTCAACAGTACACTTTTGAAATAGCTCGTCGTCCGGCACAAAATCACCAAGATGCTATGCCTTGTCCAGAGTTCATATCCAAAGAAGCTGGAGGGGAGCGCGTAAACTTGATAACGCTGGGTGAAGGAACCGAGAGAGAGAGAATAAACTTTATTGAAGAATTAAAATTACGTGACTAATCCCGGGTGGAGCCCTCTTGTAGAGCCCCACTGGCCACAGCGGCTCGCCGGGCCTGGTCTAGGGTCACCAGTTGGCTCCCCAGTGCCAGCTCGGAAAGCCGTGCCTCCCAAGACCACGTTGTGAGTGTTTGTAGTGAGCGCACCAACCTAGATACTGCATTGGCTGGCCGCTCGGTACATTGGTAGGTTATGTGTGTAAGTGTGGCTGTGCGGTTACTACACCATGGGCATACCCCTGTTGTGTATATCTGTGGAAAAATTGCGTGTAGTTTTGATATGTGGGGTATGTGTTCGTTTGGAGGCGGCGCCAATCCCGGGCTTGTTGGCTGCTTAAGTTCGGATGTGGAGGGGCGTACGTGCGTCTTGTAAGGCGTTGGTTTTCCAATATCTGCCTGCTTGTTACACTTTGCTCTTCATGATGCCCTGTGAGGTGTCCTGAAGAGAGTCCTGCGTCTCGGCCAGTAAGTCAGCGAGCTACGCAGTTTGCCTCCTCGTTCCTCCCCCCCAGGCCGTCATGCCCTGGGCACCAAGTGACGCCATGTGCCTCCATCAACATGGACCCCAAAATATCAGTGACGGACCTTGGAAGTGTGCCTCTAAGGTATAAGCGACATGCAGCTTGTGAGTCTGTCAAAATAAACGCTGAGCGCCCCGTCTTTCGGCTTCTCTGATCGCCAAGGCTATGGCTGCTGCCTCTGCGGTGGCACTTGATCTGGTGCGTAGGGACGCGCAGGCCACGACTTTGCTTTGGTTAGTCACTGCCAATGCATATGCTTGTTTTCTGGAGCCTTGTGGTGGCGCGGGATAAAGACTGACGTCGGTAAAGTAAGCGTCTGGATCGCTACTTCTCTGCAGGAGTTTTCGTGCTCGCGCTTGACGGCGCTTTTTGTTGTAGAGCGGGTGCATGTTTTTTGGAACTGATTTCACGATTATTTGATCACGTATTTGCTTGGGTACAATGACTGTCTCATCGCCACAATATTGAGGGGTGAGAGGGTATCCCAGCCTCTGTAGCAGTGTTCTTCTCTGGAGCGTAGTGGTGAGTCGTTCTCGCTGTGCGATTAGCGTGGCGGCGGCCAATTCTTCATACGTATTATGCATGCCGAGTCCCATGAGTTTTTCTGCGCTTGTGCTGTTCGGAAGTCGCAATGCTGCTTTGTACGCAATTCTGTCAATCTGCTCTATTTCGGGCTTGCGTGTTGATTGAAAGGGAAGAGCGAACGTGACTCGGCTGAGAACGAAGGCATGTACAAGGCGTACCGTGTCGGCCTCTGTCATTCCATCATTACTTCGCGCAATTCTAGCTATAAGGGATGCAATACTCTTTACGGTGTGTTTGAGTTTGCCTATTGCAGTTTTTACGCTGTTGTTTTCTTGCACGTGCATGCCTAATATTTGAGCTACTGGGGTCCTGTTGATGATCTGTCCGGCAATTTCTAGCTGCAGCGCGGGTGCACGGTTGGACCGAGTGCGTGGGGGTCTTATTTGCAAATATTCCGATTTGCTAGGTGCGCACGACATGCCTGCAGCAGTGAGGTAGCCTTGAATCATGTCTATAGCGGTTTGCAGTACATCTTGTCGTTCTCCATAGGAGCCCTTTGTTGCCCATAGCGTAATATCATCTGCGTAAAAGGAACAGCCCAGGTTTGGTACAGTCTCCAGCTGGAGGACTAGTTTCCGGAGGCCGATATTGAATAAAAATGGAGACAAGATGGAGCCCTGAGGTGTGCCTTTCAGTGGGAGGTCGTATGGTGATGATTTGGTACCAGCTATGCCAATCTGCGCCTTGCGATTTCCAAGAAAATCAGAGGCATAGATGAATATGCGTTGTTCGCATCCTATGGCTGCAAGACCGTCTAGTATGGTAGAGTGCGCAATATTATCAAATGCTTTTTCGATGTCGAGTGCAACGAGTAGATTGTTGAGACTACCTGGCGCTGGGTTAAGCACTTCCTCTTTGAGCAGTAAGAAGATATCCTGGGTAGACACTCCTCGCCTAAATCCGTACATAGATGTTGGTAGAAGCCCCCGTTCTTCTGTGTGTTGGTCAAGGCGAGTGAGTATAACTTTTTCGAAGAGCTTGCCAATGCATGACGTTAAAGAAGGAACCGAACAATCGGCATGTAGAAACAGAAAAGTACACGTGTCTGAAACCAAAGTTGTGCCCGTTCTTAAACTTTACAGTAACAGTCCAGAATCTGGGAGACATACGGAATGCTAACTGCAAGGTTCACACGGACGAACACGAAGCTGGATGCTGCTAATTACGTTCAAACGTACCCCGAAAGCAAGGTTTTCAAGGCAAAGTTTAGATTAAGGGGATATAAAATAATGTTGCCGAAACAATGTGATGTACTTTTTGAGGTAGTGCACCTCGAATTCGCCAAAATCAAGAAGAAATGCGAGGACGTGCGCAAAACGCAAACATTTTCGGTTGCCGTCGATGAGTGCATCTGCTATAATGCTGCTACGGCCGGCTCTGAAGACGTAAATTTGGTGATTTGGCTCCTCGAGTGGGAGGTGTTTAAGGACGTTCAAGTAATCGTTGTCTACAATGCAGCTGCTTTCTGACCTCTTAAGCTTCGACAATATGGAGAAGAAAAAGGAGTCAAATAACGTTTCCGAGCACCATATCACCTTGTTGCTAATTCCCTCGCTGAAAAAGTGATTCGAGACCTCAAGATGTTCCTCTCTTTATACCCAGACTTCCCGGGTGGATGGAAAGGCACTCTGGGGGCGACTGAATCACATGGCAATCGCTCCTACACTGCGGAGCTTAGATGCAGTCCAAACTTTGTGGCTTTCGGAAAATCAAGTTGTTTGTCCGCCGATATAGAGTTTCGTTTAATGGACAAGATTATTTTCAAGGAACAAGCTATAGCGGAAGGGTTGAAAGAATGATATCGCCAAACAATTAAAAGGAACTTTGATAAATGCCATCGGTCAGAGATCACCGATGAACAGCTTGGAAGCATGGTTTTTGTGCGCAAAGAACTCGACTCGAAGTTTCCATTTACTGTACCCGACTTCGTCACGAAGATCGCAAAGCAACAAGGTATACTGAAGACGGCATATTACGAGGGGTCTCGCGGCAAAGTCGAAGAAGCGTCTCTCTGAAAACTACTTCCATACGATATCCTGAGAGATAAAAGCAGAAGCCTAGGTGTATATAGTCATCCAAAGAAACTGGCTCGAGAAGGTGGCAAAGTGAAGTCTAGTGGAAATGGAGGTAGAAGAAGATCGGAGGAACGTAAATATATGGCTGACAGCAAACTGCTTTAGTTGGAACTTTATTGGTTGTTCTTTCTCCTCGCATTCGATTGTACTGATTCCCAATGATTGAATTCGGCACGTAGTGTGGTTTTGCACGACATTTGAGATGAGCACAGATCTGGAAGACGTTTTAGTGACAGCTCGCAGATGTCATAATGACGTCACAACTTTTGCCAATATGTGGCCTCATAATGACATTACATAACGACCCAACATTATAACGATTATTTCGCATCACTTCTTGTGGAGGTTGCTGCGGACGATCACTTTATCTTTCGATTAGGAATTGAAGGCTTCAGCGCATGTTGTGGACCACCGAGGTTCGCGACAGCAAAGATAGCAGCCAGAGCTATTCGAACCCGAATGAGAGTGTCGAGAGTGAAATCACTGCGGGAGACACAGTGACGAGAGGCAGGATTCAGGGGCTTTCCGCCCCGGTGCTCGTGTGTGGGTCACGCAATTAGAAGAAGGGCTGCGCCGTGCTGCGTCGTCGACAAACGACAGCGTCGATCGCGTCAACCGCGGGTCAGGTCAGGTCGGTGGTGCTTTCTCTCCCGCGGCCGTATAAAAGGCGGCCGCCCCACACCTCCGAAATCGAAACACGCTGTGGAACACCTCGTCTACGGCAGCCGTAACTCTCGTTGTCACACTGAGGATTACGCCATGCAGGTGAGCTCACCCGACGTGCGTTCTCAAGACAGCCGAGGCGGAGGTACTTGCAGGAGGCCCTTGTATCACGTGAAACGCTGCTATAAACTTGCTTTTGTGGTATTTAACATGCGAGGCCTAGACGAGGGTCCTAAGCATTCTTTTATCTAATTACTATATTTAAATATGTACTTCCCGTGGTAACATTAGTATTATATCAATTATTTAAATGTAGATTGGTGGGCTGATCAACAAATTAAAACTCAAATCTCATAACAAAATGACTGTGTTTTGAATACCTAAAAATGATTTTGAAGGTATGAAAGTGATGTAGATCGGTCACACGACACATTGGCTGTTATAGCGGTAAACCAAAACCCTCAACAAGTTAAAATCTTTGTATGAGTAAACTGCACATGCTTATGAGTATGCGGTGGGCTTGTTTACCTGTCGTAGCTCCTCCATTTGAATTGCAAAGCATCGTACCTGTTTTCTTATTTAATTTGTTTGATCGGACTTCGACCGACTTAAAAAGTAAAGTTGTGGTATGGGAATAACCAAACTTTGCCCTTTTTCTTCCGTGAAGACCATACTTCATGTTATGTGCTGTCATTCAAGGTAGATTTGTACAAAGGTGGCCTAAACAGTTGGTGCACTTCAGTCATTCGCCACTTGAGCTAAGCGTAGATTGTCGAGGGAGAGCCAGCTGCGACATGAGCTTGCATCATCAGACACGTCTGTACAAAATGACAGAATAAATCATAGTGCCCATAGGTATTCAGGCTCTTTGTGTAGTCAAAGTTCTCAATCCACATCGCGCATATTGAGCACTCGGAGTATTTTGAATTCCGTGTCGCCACCATCGCACCGCTGCAGAGATGAACGGAAATACATTGACTCCTTAACAGCGTAACATCATGTAATACAGGAACTGAGCCGCTTTAAGATAGCCTTTCTTTACTGCATGTCCAGAGCAGTGTAGCACACCACGCCGTGCATAAGGTCACGTGGAGAGCATTTTAGTCGGGAGAGTGCTGTCTATATAAGAGAAAAATAGATTTTTCTCGCTATCAACGGCACGGAATTGCAGTATACTTGTTTATTTAAGGCAGAAAGAGTGCAGTTCTGTTCCCAAACTTGCGGCTGTACCCTAAGAAAATTTTTAATACAGCCGGCATTTCTTGAAAAATATTTATGATATATTGCAGAACCGAAACTGAAGAAAAATCCTACAGCGTATACATGTCTGTAAGCTAGACTTTAAAAACACATCAAAAGATTATTATATTGACATATTCGCAACTCTCAAATACACCACTCATTTACGCCATGCAACTTTCAGAAAACATTGTATAACATCGCAGCTATTTCGCGTAATTGAAAAGGTACTACTTTGTACATTTGATTTGTGGGTTTTAACGTCCCAAAACCACCATATGATTATGAGAGACGCCGTAGTGGAGAGCTCCGGAAATTTCGACCACCTGGGGTTCTTTAACGTGCGCCCAAATCTGAGCACACGGGCCTACAACATTTCCGCCTCCATCGGGAATGCAGCCGCCGCAACCGGGAATCGAACCCGCGACCTGCGGGTCAGCAGCCGAGTACCTTAGCCACTAGACCACCGCGGCGGGGCTACTACTTTGTATAGTTTATCAACTAAGATTATTTATATAGCGCGGTCGACATGTCTGCAATAGATGTTTTTGAGTGGAAAGTAGTATGCCTGTAATCTTCTATGGAATGGTAATCACTTGCAAAGTCGTTAAGTGGTTAGGGCACTCTAGTGCTGACAGTCATTTAATTGTTACATTTAGCAACTGCGGTGGCTGCTTTATGATGCGCATAAGGGAAGGAAGGAAAATAGGAGGAAAAGAACGGCAGGGAGGTTAATCAGCCTATAGGCAGCCGGTTTTCTACCTTGCGCATGGGAGGGGGATGGGGGAGATGAAAGATAGAGAGAAGAGGGAAGAGAGATAAACACAGCACATTCGGCAGCACACGCGCGCACAGTCAGTCATAGACCAGTCTTGACTTTCGCGGTGTGTGACATTGCTGTTACAGCCGCTTGTTCAAGTCCGTGTCGCGTAGGAAATTCAACAGAGCTTTTGTCGCCTTCTGTTGCAATGTCTTCTCTCGGGGCACTTGACAGAATAGTGTCCACAGACATTTGGCTGTTGTCGATGTGCGTAAAAACGGACGCCAGTGACTGTCTCTAGATGTCATACAATGTACAGCCACACAGGATGTGGTGTAGCGTCTCTTCGCAACGACAGGCATCGCAGAGAGCGTTGTCCGCCATTCCTATGACAAAGGAATAAGATTTTGTAAATGCCACTCCTAGCCATAAGCGATGAAAAAGGGTGGCTTCTCTGCGGTCGAGTCCAGTGGGCATGCGGAGAGCCATCAAAGAGGACCGGTGGTGTTGACTATTCGTCTCGTTGCTTGGTGAGCACCATTGTGAAAACGCGATTTCACGCGCAAGTCGTCGAAGATTACTGGCAGCATCGGTCCGCGAAAATGGTAAGGCTTCTCGTGTTTCTTCAAGAGTTGCCCGCGTGGCAGTATCGGCATGTTCGTTCCCTATGACGCCGCAGTGACTTGGTAGCCACTAAAACGTCACATGATGCCCTTTCTCGCGTAAGGTGTGGAGAAGGCATCGAATTTCGATAACAAGCTGTTCGTACGGCCCGCGACGCAGTGCTAAGAGCACAGATTGCGCATGAAGGCTAGGTAAGGACTAAGGAAGACAAGTACAGATTCCTGCGTCAATTCATAAGTGCTTCTTTGTTTTTTTTGTTTCTGTGTTTACTTTTCAATGACTTCAACGCTCATTTGTCAACTATCGTTGTTGAGGAGCCTCATGCAATATTCACTTAAAGTAATAAGCTGGAATGCTTGGAATATTGACATTTATTGCAGTTATTGCACTTTAGAAAAACGTTAAAAATGGGGAAAAAAAGGGAACACGCCGACGCAGAGTGCCAAAGAACAGCGTTCTTACTGTTGTTTTCTGAAATGCCGGAAGCCCGTATAATGGGTCATGTCAGTGTTTATTGAAGAGCACTAGATGGTCTAAATTTTCGTAGCCCTCCACTATGGCATGGCATGCCTCATACTCATATCGGGGTTTTCGCTTGCATATCCAGGGATATTTTCTTATTACTGTGTTAGTATTCATTTGTTCTTGTGTGTCCTGATTTTGTTTAAGCACTGCAAGACCATAAAGCGTTGCATAAATTCATGCGATATCATGTGCTGTAAGACGCATCGCAGAGCTCTGAGGCTGTTAATAGACACGAAGCTTAACTAACCAATAAAGGTATAACCCTTTCGAGCGTGAATATTGGAACTGTTGTGTGGCGGCGTTAAACAACCCAAGTTAATAATTAACATTTCTGAAGTTTCTTTATTCGCAGTTCAGAAAAAAGTAGTCACAAAGAACCATCTAGTGTTCAGTCGCGATACATTTGAACATACAACAATCTCAGCTTGTTTGTCAAAACCCAATATAAAGAATTATACGACAAATTCATAATACTGTTTTGGCTACTTCCATTTCTTTTAAACAGGAATACATTGTTTTACCTGTGCTACTGGCTGTGGCTCGAGCAGGATACGTTGCGCCAGTGACTGGTTTCATCGAGACTGAGTCTTCTACAAGCCATCATTCCCAAGATGTAAGCTCATCGCTCTAACACCAATATCCACATCCCAACAGTTTAGTGCAGACTTGTGAAGACGAGGCACGACGAAGGGGAACCCGCAGTGGTGCTAACTTTCAACAAATTGTGATATAATACTATTTTTGTAAACAACAAAGGTTTTCGCCTTCCACTCAACGTAACCACCGATCGGTTGAGCGGTGTTTACAATATTTTTCACTCAATGTACTTACAAACGCGTTCGGTTTCGCGTGCAAGTATATGTGGTCAGTACAGCCTTTGTACCTTTAAGATGACCTATAATACATACATATTAATAAATTTTTTGAAACGGCCATCGAAAACACACGAGAGCTCAATTATATATTTATTTGCCTGCGAAAAAAAAGCTACAGAATGTTAATGTAATTTACGAGTTGCTATAGATCAGGTTTGATGCTGAGGTTCAAAACTTGTCGCAAAAATCGCAGATTGTGAAACAGCTGTTGGCACTTGCGAGTTCGGAGTCTATAGTACATTCACTCTTATAATGAAGCGCTTGCTGCTAGTTGTAATATGATTCATACACGACAGTATGCCTTTCATATCAGGTGGCTGGCAACTACAACTTCGGCTACAAGGAGCACCACCCCAGTGGTGCCACCTTCCGTCAGGAGACCGGCAATCCTTGGGGTCACAAGGTCGGCTCGTACGGCATCGCGGACGCTGACGGACGCTACCGCCTAGTCAAGTATGTCGCAGACACCAACGGATTTCGCGTCCACATTTCCACCAACGAACCAGGAACGGCAGCTTCCAGTCCTGCCGGAGCTGGTATCAACGCTCCCGTGGCGCTGTCCGCGGCACCCGCTGTGGAACCTCTGCTTCTCGAGCCCTCCACACCACTCGGAGTTGTGGCTAAAGCCGTGCCTGCGGTGACCGCAGCCCACGTCTATGGACCGCCTATAGTAGGGCCCATCCTCAAGCCAGCTGCACCACTGAATGGCTTCAGGCCAGTCTACGCGAAGAAGTCGTATGCACCGGTGGTGGTACCAGCTGGTCGCGAAGTTGAGTATGATGCCCGGGACGACAGGCACTGGTAAAAAAAACGTTACATTGCTGTGAATCGGAGTAATGCTTACAGTTCAAGCATCACTCAGCGCGTCCTATGCCTTGCATATACTATGCACGCGTACTGGAGGTATAGAAAGACACTGAAGTCTGTCTTTTTCCTTTAAGATGTGAAGAACAGAAGAGGGCTTTTTGTTCGGTGTTAGGGCAGAAAATCCGCAGCACAATGCTCGTCAAGGTTAAATTGTTGTTGAATTGTTTTTGTATTTACATTGTGCCACATGCGGCCCGTTTCTGGCATTCATTGAGCACTACGTTGAACTATTCACTTTACGCATTTTATTACCCCAGCTAAAGCCAAGGTCCTATATCATTCTAAATAATGGTGAAGCAAATATCTCTATCCCGTATGGAAACACGGGGATGTTGGCAGCACGTAATGAATGCAAGAACAGCGCAACTGACAATGAGAGGTGAAGATGAATAACACTGCGTTGTGCGTTATCTTCATCAGTACTTGTCTGTCGCGCTGTTTTTAGGTGAAGATATCTCAACAACCCTGAGGCAATTCAGAAAGTGGCTGTAACTTGAACTTCGTTAAAGAGAAGTTGAAGTGTCGGGTGTACTACAAATTCGCTATGTATATAGTCGTCACTGCGTATCTATTGAACGTCAGTTCATTCCAACGTGGACTGATCAGGCCCCTTTCAATGCTTATCCGTTGCGTTCATTGCAACGTGGACTGATCAGGCCCCTTTCAATGCTTAGCCGCTGCAAAAGAACAGGCGCGGCTTGCAGATCAATCTGTGATGATCGTTTGTCAATACGCGATAAAACTTCGTGGTGCAACAGTGACAGTGGTCGAAATTTGAAACACGAAGCCACGCTGGGCCCCTTACGGGGGCGACGCACTTATTTATTTATTTATTTATTGGTACCCTCAGGGCTTACAAGAAGCATTGTAGAGGGGAGGGGCTGAAGTAAATGAAAACACTATAAGGAATACACAGAAAAAGTGGCACTAAGAGAAAGAGCACAAAAGGAAACAAACTAGATAAGTTTATACATGAACTAACAAAAGAAAATAGGACGAAAAAATACACTTTGACGTCGCAATCACAGTGAATGTCAGTGCATGTTGCACAAAAAATAATCGACTGATGCCTTTTCAATACACATGTTCAAAAAAAAAAATAAAAAAAAAAAATAAAATACACATGTTCAAAAAAAAAAAAATGATACATGAAAAAGCAAGTTTTATCGAGTTACACACACAAAAAGAAAACATCAGTGCAAGGCAAAAAAAAAAAAAAAAAAAAAAAAATTTGTTGAGATCAAGACCTGTACAGAGATAGGTGGTAAAGAAGTAAATTGCAGTTTCAGTGTGTTGTAAATGCATTTGTGAACGTGATGCAGCTTTATAGCGTGTTCGTTAATGCTTTCCGGAAACGGTCAGGGTCTCTGATTGCGACTAGTGACGCAGGCAGGTGATTCCATTCATAAGATGTTTTTGGCAAGAATGAATATGAGTAGGTGACTGTGCGCTGTGATGGTACGTGAACTTTGAAAGGGTGGTCGACACGTGGGGAGATATAGGATGCGGATGTGATGTATCGGGACTTCAACTCATTGTTATGATAATATATTTTATGAAAAAGGCAAAGACGGGATAACCTCCTACGAGAAGAAAGAAGGGGAATGCCAAGTGTTCGTTTCATGTCAGTGACACTGGCAGTTCGATGGTAGTTGTGAAGGATGAAACGGACCGCTCGATTTTGCACATTTTCAATTATGTTTGTCAGACTAGCATGACCAGGATCCCATATGGAGCATGCGTATTCAAGGTTAGACCTAACATAAGTAATGTACAGCTGTTGCTTTAACTTCGGGGGAGCTAAGGAAAAATTACGTTTTAAATAACCAAGCATGCGGTTAGCTTTCGATGTAATGTATTCTATGTGTCTTTTCCATGAGAGATTGTTAGTAATATGCACACCAAGATATTTATAGGATATTACTTGATCAAGTGAAGTATTATTCAGTAAATAATTAGGGCATGCTGAAATACTACGGGAAATTCTCATTGTTTTGCATTTAGACGTGTTAAGGTCCATAACCCAGAGCTTACACCATGTCGAAATGTTATTAAGATCATTCTGCAGTGTTAGGGTATCATTAGGGCCTTCAATCTTGCGATATAAAACACAATCATCGGCAAATAAACAGATGGAACTTGTGATTTGGTTAGGAAGATCATTGATGTATATTAAAAAAAGTAATGGTGCTAAAACAGAGCCCTGAGGTACGCCTGAGTCAACCGGTACTTCAGGAGAGTTTTTATCATTAATGCTGACATATTGCGTTCGGTTGGATAGAAACTCTCGAATCCAATTGAAAACCAGGGGATCAATGCTTAACTGGCTGAGTTTAAATAAGAGTAAGCGGTGACTGACGCGGTCAAAAGCCTTGGCGAAATCTAAAAATATGCAGTCTACTGTAAAGCCATTGTCTAGAAATGCGTGAAGATCATTGCAAAATGTTGCTAGCTGTGTTTCGCATGAGAATGTCTTACGAAACCCATGCTGACTACTATGAAAGAACTTATTCGATTCTAAAAAATTGACCAGATGGGAGAAAATGACGTGTTCGAATATCTTACAAGGAATTGAAGTCAGGGAAATAGGTCTATAGTTTTGAGGGTTGTGTGTGTCACCGGATTTATGAAGTGGTATCACCTTGCCTGTTTTCCAGTCTTTAGGTAAGGAACTACTGTTCAGTGATTTCGTGAAAATAAGGTTTAGTAGGATGGAACTATATTCGGCGGTAGCCTGCAAAAATTTCGACGTGATGCCATCAATACCGCACGAGGACGATCTCTTTAAATTGTTAATGATGGAGCGGATACCAGACGAGTCAAGTAAAATGGGTTCCATGGGAACGTAGCTAGGCGCAGTGAAACGTGGACAGATGTCAGGGTGAGTAGCACAAAATGAACGGGCAAAAACAGTGTTAAGTGTGGAAGCGCACTGGCTGCTTGGGATTGACTCGCCAGATTTATCAGTAAGAGCTATAGTTAGATTATCCCGGTTTCTCACGACATTCCAAAAGCGTTTTGGGTTGCTTTGGAGCAATGACGGAAGTGTATTATTATAAAATTTAAACTTAGTTTCTTTTAATGCACTGGAGTATGCTTTTGCCGCGGTTGTATAAGTGGACCACTTATCAGCAGATGACGATTTCTTGGCGGCACGAAAGAGCCTTTTTTTTTTGTTAGACAGCCGGTTGAGGTACCTTGAATACCATGGCGCGTTGGATGAATGATAAACCTTCCTTACAGGGATATGCTTTTTTATTAGATGCAGTGCTTTGTCTTTGAAACACGTCCATATTTTCTCGACCGTAGCATCATTGTAAGAAAGACAAAAGCTGTCGAGAAATGAGGAAAGCTCGGTGTTGATAGCCTCAAAGTTGGTCTTATTGTAATCCTTTATAAGTTTAAAGCGATTGCTCCTTCTATTCCTCGGTACAGAAATGGAAAAATGTAGCACGTCATGGTCACTCAACCCTGGCAAGTGAGTTATTTCAGATGCAATATCTGGTGATGAGGTGAGTATCAAATCTAGTAGGTGTGATGTGCTAGGAGTAACACGGGTGGGAATACGCACTAATTGAGATAGATTGTAATCCAAACAAGTGGTTAGGAAATAACTCGTTTCAGCTGAAGCAGGCTCTGCAAACGGGCATGGATGAGACCATTGGATTGATGGAAAATTAAAATCTCCTAGAAGAAAAACTGGAATACCGGGAGTTAATGCCGAAATATGACTTAGGCAATCATGTAATTCTTCGCAGAAAGAGCCGTTGGAATTAGGCGGGCGATAGCAAATGCCAAAAACAATTTTTTGAAAACAAATCGTCACGTAGCACCAGACAATTTCTAATCTACAAGGGATTTTCAGAAGTGTACATTGAAAACACTCATTCACAGCAATAAGGACCCCACCACCCCTTCTTTCGGAGCGATCACATCGATGTACAGTGAAAGTTTTGTGGCACTGAAAAAGCTCACTTGTTGCAATTTGATCGGAAAGCCAGGTTTCAGACAAAAGAATTATGTCAGCATCCGTGTCATTAATTAAAGCACTTAGGCGGTCTCTTTTCGGAATAAGGCTGCGAATATTAGCATACAGGATTGAAAGCTCCGATGGTGAAGATGAGCCACCACCCCTCACACTGTCCTAGCTAGTGTTAGAATAAGGACGACCTGATCTGGTCGCCCTAGGGCTAGAGGAAACGGCAACTTGTGGGGAAGGTGCCTCGCAGACGACGTTGGTGCGAGCATCATACACATAGCATTTATTTTGTGCATATAATTTTTTGTACCCAACTTAAACGGTTTTTTTAAAGCAATGCCAAACTCTGTCAGCTTTTTACGAGCTTCACGAGTTGATACAGAGAAGTCTTCAGAAAGGCCAATGCCACTACCTCGTAAAGTAGATTTCTTAGACAGTAGTAGCATTTTTGACTTGGAATTTGAAAATTTAGCAATGAGGGGTCTATTTTTACCTGCCAAGTATCTGCCTATTCGGTGTGCTCGTGCTATGTCATCGGGTGATAAGCGAACATCCAACCTGTCACGGGCCATCGTGATAATTTTTTCTTCTGACTGGTGCGCTTTCTCGTCTGGCACGTCAGGTAAGCCATAAAATAGCACATTATCACGTCGAGACCGATCTTCAGCCTCGTCAAGCCGGGCTTGTAGATCAATTGTCTCTTGTTCCACGCGAATTAGTGATTGGCGCGTGATAGATAGTTCTTGCTGTACATTTGGAAGATCGCTAATCCGTTTTTCTACTGTTTGTAGCCGTACGGTAATGTCAGCCACAGCAGTTGCAACTGTCTCATGGGAAACCTTAAGATCAGACAATGCCTGTGACATGCTCGATTGGTTAGTCTCGATTCTAATACAACGCTCATTTGTCTCTTTAACCAACTGAATTAGTTCCGTTAGGGTCTTGTCAGGCCCAGGGTT